CAAAAGTGACGACAGTTACGAGGAAGGCAGCTTGCAGGCGTCGAAGGCGATGACAGTTACGAGGATGGCGACCCTGAGGGGCCCCATCCTGTGACTGTTGACACTTTTGAAGCATCAGGGGGGAGGGGTGGGGGGGATACAATGGGGGGGGGGCGGGAACGCGGAGCGCAGACGCGTACATAGGGCTTGGGGTCTAGGGCTGAGGGTTTAGGGCTTAGGGTTTATAGGGTTTAGGCCTAGGGTTTGGAGCTTAAAGGTTAGGGTTTAGGGTTTCGGTTTTAGTGTTTAGGGTTTAGGGCTTAGGGTGTACAGGGCTTCATTGGGTTTTAAGGGCTCACGCGGGTGAGAGTTTCTATTGCGGTCCATGGCGCGTCAGAGATTTTGGTCTGTGTAGGCTTTATGGGTGCTATAGGGTTGAGGGGGTTTTAAGGGTTCTTAGGCTTAATGTTTTGTTTGTACGAGTTTGTGGGTGTTAGCCTTGCTAGACGAATTCTAAATGGTTATTAGGATTTCAGCTGGATGTCCTTTGGTACTCCTGCGTGGGTGCGGTAGAGTTTAAGAGTCAAGGAGGTTGAGGCCGTTCAGGGCTTCGACCTGTGTGGGAGCATGTCGGGCTTAAATCCTTCCATGAGATATGCTAGCATTCAAGGGCACGCTTCGGGTAACAATCATAGCGCAGCTCCTGCTGTTCTATAGGAAGTGAGAAAATCCGAGCTTTGGCAATTAGATAGTGGTCTAAATCTTACACCCCGAAACGGGAGCGCTATCCTAGACTAGCCGTGAAGACAAGCCTCCTTCTCCTATATCCTGAACCCCGAAACTTTCAATTTCACAGCCCCAGGGCGGGGCCTTGAGGGTTGGGCCCTCTGTAGTTACGTGCCAGTACTTCTGAATGCTTTATCTTACAACCCATGAGACTTATGACCATACTTCTCCAAGCTATAAGTCACTTGTAGCCCAACATCTGACTGAGGGGCCCTTCCCTGCACCACTCTCCACCGATATGGCACGCTAGATCTGGGGCTCTAGGAGGCGTTAAAGGATTATGTCGACAGATCCTGAAACTCTCCCTGCTCCACATGTAAGTACGCTTTGGGGTGTGACAGTCTATACCAGGGGTACTATGAAGTGTTCCATATCAGCATATTATAAGCATTCTCAAGCTGTTACTGAGTAGGGGCAGTATCCAAGGTATATCTCACATGGTTCCTACAAACACAAGTAGGGGACCCTTGCTTTTTGAACCGCCTGACCTTTTTTCTAGCCACTAAACTCAAACAACCTGAAGCTGCCAAACCCCGTAATTAAGGAACGTCCCTTAGATCATACTAGGAAGCTCAGTATGATTCTGGCTGTATTTCCTAATCAAGGGCTGTTCTCATCCATGTGCCATCTCCATGACCTTTCTTGAACCGGAATCATATGCCAGGAGCAAATCCGTGTGATCCTCTGTTCTTCAGTCCGAGATCTCGCGCCTTGGCAGTGTAAAGTGACATGTTGCAAGTGTGCTCCACTCGAGGGAATGGTGATGGGCTTAGCGGCCCGCGCCATATTCTGGGTTGCTGTTAAGGAACTTAGCTTAAGTCATTTTCTTGGGGAAACCATATTACTTACTATCCTGTACCCAGTATTGCAAGGGTCCAGGGTTCGTGGGATCTGGTATAGAGCAAGGGTCCATTTTCGCGAGATCTCCGCGCAGTTAAGCAAGCACAGGAACCACTAGTCAAGACGCAGTTGAGAGTCAGCGTGATTTCTAGTACCTTACAGCATACCTTCTTCAAGGGGTCCTAAACCGTAAGCGCTAAGCCCCAAACCCGAAGCCCCCAACCTTCTATTAACCTTAAGCCCGAAAAGCAAGTCGTCAACGTTTGGCGTTCCCAGGAGATGGTCAAGTCCAAGCTGGTTCCCGAGAGTTTGATGCTGAAGGAGGTATGGAGCTCGGAGCTTTTATGCTGCCTTCCCTACTGGTTTTTCTAGTAGGGAATAAAGGAACATGATCCCTATACAATAATCCCTATGTAATACCTAAACCCTCAACCCTAAACCCTACTACTAAGATATCATATAGGGATTGTATAGGGATTCTATTCCCTTGTTCCCCACAAAGAACCAGTCAGCTTATAGTCAGGATTTAGGGTTGGTTTAGGGTTTAGGGTTTGCCTATTTAAGTGTTCTACATGGAGTCCCTTCTCTGGTTTCATGTAAGTGGGGCCTGAGGAATTCTACGCGACAAGTTGAGGATTTAGGTTTTTAGCTTGCGGCAGTGGTGCTACTCATATTAGGTCGTTTCCACGGGACCCTAATATAGACCCCCAAAATTCCATGGTCTTTATTATGAGGACCCCAAAATGGATGCCTAATTTTGGGAACCCCACATGCGACCGCAGGACCCAAAGGAAGACGGCTCGCATACCCGCAGCCCTACCCATTATTAGAAATGCTGAGCCTTGACCCCCGAAACGCTAAACCTTAATTTACAGGCCCAGTTCCTAACAGTTCCCAAGGACGAAGAGGATAACCCAACACTTTGAGAATGGGAGCAGGTACTCTGCAGGTGCCTGTACAAGTAACGCCTTACGAGTTAAGTTGTTCCGTGAGATGTCGTTTGTCCTCTTTGCCTGCTTGCGACTGCAATCGCAATCAGGATAGTTGCCTCAAAAACGCTGTTGCTGCTCATCTTTCCGCTACCACGTCCACTACGACGCCACAAGTGCCACCTAACCCTCAAGCCCTGGGCGAAGGACTGTAAGATCGGGGACTCCGAAATTGTTCCGCAAGGGAAGTGCCTGATCTGGAGCCAAGGCGCCCGAGCGATGCAAGGGTGGGTTTCCTTACTACTCCCCCCACCCTAAACCCTAAACCCTAAGCCTCAAACCGTAAGCCCTACTAACCCCCTCCCCCCTACCCCCCAAATACTACACCTCGCCAAGGTTCCCCCTGAATTAGGGCTGTTCAGCGATAGAAGGGCTAACTAAGGTTGATCAAGGGGGAACCTAGTAGGGGTGGGGGTGGTACGCGGGGGTGTTCGTAGGGGAACCCATGAAAGTGGTGTGGAATTCAAGAATTGGGCCGCATTATGCAGTACTACGGTCTGTGCTATAGTCGGTACTCAGAAGGGATCCTTCAAGGATATCCCTAAGTGGTGTCGATTTCTACCGGAGCATTTTGATAGGGTTTCGAGATTCTGCGCATCCAGCCTTTTGGTTTAGGGTTCAGGGCTTAGAGTTGTGTTATCATCATTGCTATAGGTTTGTATGTGGAATCAGTGCTATTTGAGAGCCCAAGGCTATTTTCATCAATTGTTCGAAGCCTTCAAAAGGCGAAGCGTTCCAACAGGGCGTTGCCAATTCTAAACTTTTATCATATGGGAGTTCCTAAACATTGGGGCCCCTAGACCCTCCCGGGGTATAGGGATTATGAGTTACAGGGGTCCTTATTCAGGATTTTATCGGGGTCATGTTGACGAACACTCATTTAGAACTATTCTTTCACTGGCTGGGCTAGCCATAGGGGCACTGTTCCTATCCGATCAGTGCTTTTGTGCCATCAACACCAAACAGCAACCTAGAACTCCAAACCCAACACCCTAACCTCTACACGGCAAGCCCCTGGCCCTAAACGAAAAACCCCCAAACCCCTGAGCCATTTCCGACATCCCCGAGGTGCGGTATTGGAGCATTTTAAGATGCTTACAAACCCGGACTTTGCGAAGATCCATGATGAGCTTCACAAGCTCTACAAGGGCAAGGAGGCTAGGGCACGTTTCGGAGGTGTTGGGAGGTAGGGCTCGGTTATCATGTTCTGAAATGGAGTGTATCAGACGGGGCTTGGAAGGCAAGCCGTCTTCGTTTGCTGAGCCACATGAGCTAACTTCAGAATTTTCAAGCCATCATGGAAAACGGCTCCGTACCCAATCCCTGCGCATTCCTCTGTGGCTGAGTTGGCTCTACAACCAAGAGAACAGACTTGGAACCCTCGAGTAGAGTTTAGTCGCAGTCCGGGATTCTGTACGTCAACCTTTGCAGTGAAACCTCAGCTTCTGAACTTCTACACCTCATCCTGGGTTGCTGTTCAAGAACTTAAATTAAGTTACCGTATTGGGGAAACCCTATTATTTATTATATATACCCATTATGGTAACTTTATTTAAGTTCCTTAACAGCAACCCAGCATCTTTCAGACGGTTAGGTGCGGCTTTTGTTCAGTGGCCGTGACTTCGACAAGCAGCATGATGAGGCACAATTGTGATTGAGTTTAGGGGTTGCGATTTAGGGTTAAGGGTTTAGGGTGTAGGGGCGGTGTAGGGTTTTGAATTCCTCAAGCAATGAAATTTGAAGCTCATAGTTTCGTCTAGGATTCATAGGGCTCATGGTCTAAGAGTCTGGGGTTTATGAATGTTGGCTGTGGGCTTTGATAGAGATTCCTGATGAAGCGAAGAAAGCTCCCTGACTGTTTTGAACACTTTACCCTAAGGGTCCCAGGGCTTTAGGTCCCAAATACGATTCAGATACAGTATTTGGACCCTAAAACCCTTTTATCTGAATCCTTGGACCCTTAGGGTTAGATTGCATGGATGGCCTGCGCAAACTGTTGGGCGTTACCTTTCAGCCTTCGACATAGTTCTCCTGTGGACAGCACCGCGTCCTCTCTAAACTCAGATCCCTACCCTGAGCCTCTACCCTAAACCCTAAACCCTAAACCCTAAACCCTAAACCCTAAACCCTAAACCTAGGGTTTAGGTTAAACCCCGAATCCGGTAAACCCTAAATCTGTCCAGCCCCATGAAGCCCAGCGAGTCCGAAGCGTAGGCCAAAACCTTCTCCAGAAGGGTTTAGGGTTTAGGGTTTAGGGTACCATGTTATAGTAACACAATCTTATAGTAATTGATTGTTAGTATCATAGTAATATACTAGTATAGTACTATGGTATTATCCTAATATAGTAGTAAGCTATATATCACTAAGATACTAGAAGAAATGCGGTCATATAACGTTCAAGTAGAATTGTATTGTAATATAGTGTAGTAACGTAGTACTCTAGTATACATAGTAGTATACATCGAAATCCTAAACCCTTATCCCCCTGGATCTTTCCGCCCTAGAGCTTGCACCCTGCACCTTAAACCCTAAACCCCAGACCCTAAACATAAAACCCGAAACTCTAACCCCAAACCCTAAGCCCTCACCCTAAATCCCTAAACCCTGAACCCCTAAACCCCCTACCTAAAGCCCAAACCCTAAGCCCTGAACCTTAAATCCTAAACGCGAGGCCCAGCAGGCTCTGGACAGCCTTCAGCAATACATCTCCTTGGCAAGGCAGGCTCTCCCCTTTAAAGGGGTATATATTAGGAGGACCCCCCATCCTGTAATAGTAGTATAATAATAATAATAATAATATAAGAGGGCCCTAATATAATTCCTATTATCCCTTGTAGTCACTAGTACTGGGTGGGGGGTCCACCTAAGGTATATAGGGGTTTAGGGTTTAGGGGGCTCTCCACCGTAAACCCTAAACCCTAAATCGCCTCAGTCTTGGGTATACAGGGGCGATAAAAGGGTGATATTGGAGTATACAAGGGTGTATAGGGACTTACATTTTAGTGGCTTGGGTTTTGAAGATTTTCGGGCTTGGTGGTTATGATTTCGGGGCCTTTTGCAGAAGTTCTGTCATTGACTGAGGCATCAATGTTTTGTCCCTATCGTCTTGCGACTCGTATCGCGCATTGTCTCTGTCACGTTATAACAACTTCCAAAGTTCATCGCAGATGCTGGTATATGAGCTATAGGCTACAGTCTACACTCCTTAAAGGGGGGTATATAGGGTATAGTATAGGAGAGTAATGTCCCTAACATTAGGGCCCTCCGAAAAATAGAAATTAGGGATCCTCAGTACGCCCACCCTGAGCTCCCACGGTTCTGAGGTCCCAGTGGATTGATTTAAAAGGGATTGTTGAGAATCCTTCCTATGTTTTTAGGCCCCCAAAGTCGAAACTCAGTATAAGGGGACCTTCCAATCATTGCCCTGATCCTGAATAGGCCGGCCCCTAAACTCATTATAGGGGGCCCATAGGCAAAAGGAGGTCCAACATTAGTATAGGGGTTACTAACGGGGATACTAGGACTTTGGAGTATACATTGATGGCCGCACCGGTGCGTAAATTCTGGGGCGAAGCGCGCGAAGACGTGAAGACGTGAAGACGTG